TTCGCTTCAACACCACTTGACTCTGATGGGTCAACCGCTCATCCCCTTCTTTAGGCAGGTCACCCGACCTCCTAGTCAATGCATCTGGTTTCGCCCCTTGTTTTCCTGGTCTAAATTGAATGACGAAATCGAAACGTGAAAGAAATTCAGACCAACGGGCTTGTCGACGGTTGAATAACTTTGTTGACATGAAATATTCGAGGTTCCGATGGTCGCTAAGAACTTCAATTGGGAATTGTGCCCCCTCTAAATGATGTCGCCACTCTTCAAAACATCGTACGACTGCCAGGAGCTCTTTGTCATAGATCTCATAGTTACATTCCACAGGGGAATGTTTCTTAGAGAAGAAAGTGACTGGATGTAGAATTCCTTCATCATCACGTTGGGACAGGATTCCAGCAGAAACATAGTCGGATGCATCGGTTTCTACCACGATTTTCCGATCCGAATTAAAGTGCATTAGTATGGGTGCCGTTGTGAACATCTTTTTCAATGTCTGGAATGCTTCCTCCCTTTCATCCGTCCATTCGAATTTGACATTTTTCTTGGTCAGAGCTGTAAGCGGAGCAAAAATTTTTGAATATCCCAAAATAAACCGTCGATAGAAATTTGCAAATCCCAAAAATACCTGAACATCATGGAGATTTCTTGGTGTGGACCATTCTAATATGTCAACAACTTTCTTCGGATCCATCCTATTCCCATCCGGGGTGAGAATAAGGCCGAGATATTTCGTTTCCTGGACCATGAATTCACATTTTTCAGGCTTAAGGTGAACATGATTCTCATCAAGTACCTTCAAAACCTTCTGGACATGATCCTTATGTTCTGACAAAGTTTCCGAATAAATTAGGATATCATCCAAATAAGCCGTGACAAATTGATCAAGATAAGGCCGTAGGATATCATTAATCCAATGTTGAAAGGTGGCGGGGGCGTTGGCTAATCCGAACGGCATTACTGTATACTCGAAATGTCCATATCGAGTTCTAAATGCCGTTTTCCATTCGTCTCCCTCCGCTACCCTGATCTGATTGTATCCCCAACGTAGGTCCAACTTGGTATAATACTGTGCCTTCGAAAGTTTAGCCAAAGTTTCCTTTAACAGTGGTAACGGATACCGATTTTTGACCGTGATCGCATTGAGGCCTCGGTAATCCACACATAGCCGGAGAGTCCCATCACTTTTCTTTACGAATAGTATAGGTGCTCCCGCCGGTGATTCACTGGCCCGAATAAATCCTTTGGGTAAGTTATCATCAAGATATTCCCGTAATGCTTTCAATTCAGTCTGCAACAGGCCATAGATGGGTCCATACGGTGGTCGTTTACCCTCTTCCAAAATTATTTCAATGTCATGGGAGGGTCGGTGAGGTGGAAGAGCTGAGGCATCATATTCTTTAAACATGTGAAGGCGATGGTGGAATTCCTTTGGTACGAGTTGCTTGACGTCGGGGGTGGACTTATCAGCTACTGAGCTGACAACTGTATGAAATTCTGGTAAGGGGATCGATATGCCATGGACAGTAACCGCCGTTCCACTGAGTGAACAGTGTTGACAGCAGTTCCGAGAGTTAAAAACGAGTAGATTTTCCTTTGGTGGAATGGTAACATCATGTTGCCGCATCCAAGGCATTTCCATCACAATCGGATAGTGACTTAGATGGGTAACGAAAAACAAAGCAGTCTCCTGATGGCCATGGATATCTAACGAGAGGCGAGCGACATGGGTAATTTTTCCTGATTTGACTGGCCTACCATCGATTACCTCGAGTAGGCGTGATGTTTTCAGGGGTTCCAAGGAGAGTCCATGCTTTTTCACAAAACCTTGATCGATGAACGCATAACCTGATGCTCCCGTGTCGATGAGAGTATAGGTGGGAACGAAGGAGTCAGGATTCTGGGAGACGGAGCAGGTGACAACAAGAGAGTCTTCGGACATCTTATCCTCAGACATAGCAGCAGCAGGGAGAACAGAAACAGGTGGCGGGGCTGGCCCCTTTGGTTTGCCATTTTTTACCAAAGCGGCTGACCTTTTAACGCCGGCTTTGGGGACCCATTTTCAAGTGGCCTTTCTGGCCAATTGCTAATGGAACGGGGATCTTGGGCGCGAGGAGCCAGGTAACGAGACTTAGAGACATGGCGAGATTTAACTGTAGCGGTAGAAACGGAGATACGAGAACGAAGGTCAGCAATGATGGCATTGGCTTGGGCCTCCCAGGCCTTTGCAACAGAGGTGATGTGGAGAATCTCATCTTCAGCATCAGCGAGGTTCTCATCAGCGGTGGCGAGACTTTCCTGATGTAGTGCCAGGCAATACCGAAGCTCCTTCTCTGCGGCCTTAGACTCCTCAAGCTCGCCCTTGAGAGCAACGATAACTTCATCGCAGCCCCGGATAGTCTCGGTAGACTCTTCCTGGCATTTGGACAAGGTTTGCAAGAGATCGGCAGCCTTTTCGTCAGCTGCTTCGAGTTCCTTGGTGAGGCCGATAATGACCTCTTCTTGGGCCTTGTCGATAACGGGTTCGGGGATTTCGGAAGGCTTGGTGAAAGCCTCTAAACATTCAGCAATGAGATTATTGGCCTCGGTAAGTTCATCACCGAGGTCTATATCCGCTGGGAGAGGACCATATGTGGTCAAAAATTCTGAAAGACGCTGCAGCAACGTATCTTGAGTGGTGTCGGACATGGTCGCGACCAGAGCTAAGCGAGGCGGTGTTGTATTGGTTGGCTGTAGAGGACGCAACCTAAGTGTAACGGGGACTATGGGCGTAGGAACTATGAAGCCAAGGAATACAACCGAGGCGAAGATGTGGACGTAGAAGGTTCGTGGACTATAGACTATGGGGCCGAAGGGTACACCTAAGGCAAGAACGGGGACTGTGGACTATGGACTATGGATGGTTGTACCTGGTCTAGTATACCGGGTAAACCCTATGACGTAGCGCGAACCAAATAGTATTCGTAACCTTAAAGTACAGAGGTTGCGTAAAGAGAAAAGGAAAAGAAAGAAAAACATAAAATCACGAGACAACACCCCTTTATATATCTACCCCTCACTCCAACAATGACTCATACTCCCGTATAACAGAAACAGAAAGAACATAATGGAAACCCGCTTTACTAAACCCAACCACAATACGTAACCCTTCCCTATCGTACCCCGACACCTCGCATAACCAAACTGTTTGGCCGCCGTTACAAAACCATAAAGGATGTGCCGTTGGTGTTGTACCAAGGTACTATAATAACATTAGCTCTTTAGGTGCACACAACACGGTCAACCGTTCAAATCTGTAAAGGCATCGAGATCTGAACCTGGAAAGGCAGTTGGGCAGGCAACCTTATCTCCACCATAAAAACTCACAAAAGTCATAGTATTTCGAGCAAATAATTTGATATCTTAATCTAATCACCGAAATTACTATTTTCTTCAAGATATAGACTAGAGAGGAGTTGAACAATTTACTATTGGCATTCTCATATAGGGGTAGTTACGAAGAACCTTAGTGCCAAGGGCTTTGGCTAGGTACTAGACAGAAAGGATTTGTACTGTAGTCAATGCTGATGGATCGAGAATGAAGACCGCTTGAAGAAGTACATGATGCAAAGTTAAGTTACTAAAGCTATTTTTCCATGGAATCTTATTTGTTCAAAAAAATTCTGTTCATTTAAGCTTTGTATTCATTTTCAGTGACCCCAAGTATTCCACAAGTGTAATTAACATACCACGCATGAATACTCACTTGCGCACACCTATATTTCCTTTCGGCCAATGTCTGTTAATCGTTTTCTATGGTGCGTGACTGATGAGTACGCGTGAGTGAGTGTTCACACGGGAGACTTTTTAATTATGCCACATGTAGTACTAAATTTATACTTTTCAGCACGAGGACCAATAGGCATGGGAGAAATACTAAAAATAGTTTTATATCCAAAGGACTAACCTATATAAGCTGCTAATAAAGTGAAATTGTCTTGTCTTTTTTTTTGGTTTTGTATATTGTTGTCACCCAAGACTCCTATTTGTGTACAGCCATAAATGTCCAAGAATTAGACTCGGGTTTGGGGGTATGCTGAGTGCAATGTAGAATTCGACGTTGCACCCAACTACAGTATCCGTTTTCTCACCTAAATAATTCTTGTTCGGCATTCCTCCAAATTCGAGTCTATGCAGCAGCATTTGGCAAACCAACTTCAACTGCCACAATAAATCAATTCAGATTTACCAAAAACACAAAATGATTTATTGGAAATGATAGAAAACTCTAATCAAATACTCTATTATTTGCATTTATAACCCGAAAAATATCATTTAATTGTACCTCATAGTGTTTTTAAATCGGTTCTTAAAGAACCTAGAATTACATATATATATATTCACAATTAATACAACTGAACCGCTAAAAAGTTCCCGAACCTACTCTGTAATGGAAGTACATCCATTATTGACCAATCAGAATTATAGGAAGTCTGCACACTAGACAGCAAATCTCTTATAAATATAAAAATTCTGGTTTTTTAGTATGAGGAGCAATATCTATAGAAAAACCACTAAAAATTTATTTTCTATATAAAGAATATATTTATATAGGCTGCAAATAAAGCGAAATTCATCCTTCTTCCCCGCTTCTTCCTTGGTTTTTGAAACCAACCTCCTCTTTTTTACGTGACAACCGTTCTTATACACCAAAAACCCCCACCGTTCCGGCTTCATGTCGATCGCCTACACGACACTAAGGAAGGCCCTCTTCGAGGTAGTCTACCTTAGTTCGCTCGACAATGTCTTTAGCCTCCCAGAGCTCAACCACTCTCTCTCTGCTGAGGGTGAAAAGTCAATCGGATGTAGAGACAACCGCGACTCCCAACAGATGATGACCCTCCTCTTGTTAGGAATTATTCATCAAAACAAACAGCTCACCGAAACAGTCTCCAAGCTAGGAGACGATATCACCTCCCTGAGGGAGTCAATTGCAGCCCCTAAAGCTGCTGTAAAGAACCATGGGCGAGGTAGTAGCTGAGGGGTCGAGGGACATGGTTGGGTTCCCAGAGGGAAGGGGCTGGCCTCGCGCGAGGGTGGAGGACGGTGCAGAGGTATACCTGAAGGCAGGGACGGCGGTCTGTGCAAGGACAGAGGAGAGGGCAGCGACGAAGGTCTGTACGAGGACAGAGGTAAAGGTCTGTACGAGCACAGAGGTAAAGGTCTGTACGAGGACGGAGATAACGGCGGTCGGTCGGTTAACCGAGGAGGACGCGGCGAGGGGTGACGAGGCGGCGAAGGCCATAACAGCGGGCGCACTGGGTAGGAGGGGCAGCAGACGTAACGTGGACTGAGAGTAAAGTAATGTATTTGAAGCGAGGCGAACCCCCCAAGTAATAACCCAAAGTAGAATACAAGAAGAAGGGGAAGAAGAAACTTATATTGCTTAGAAGCCGAAGCTTATCGCACACCTAACTACCCGACTACAACCTCCACCGACTAACCCGAAAACAAAAACGAAGTACAAAAACTAACTACCGCAGCTACGAGAACTACGTACATAAAAAGAGAAAAACAGCGCACGAAGAGGGCGCGAATAACAAGTGGTACAGGTAAGCAGAATCTAAGCGACAACAAAGAAACCTCCCCGTAGTAAAAAGTAAGAACCCCAAACTTCTCCGTCAACTGCATTAGCGAGCACAATCCTAAACGTAGTGTTCAATCGAAACGATATCATTACCAACGTTCCCGGTGTCATATCTGTGGACGAACCTTAACAGGACTGGGAAACCACGCGCACGAAGGCAGAAGAGGCCAACCGCAACAGCGTCAGGTGTGAAAGCGAGGGGGGGTGGATCGAGTGTGGGTCCTCGGGCATCTGGTTGTCAGGCAGCGAGGAATTGAGGAGTGGTGGTGACCGGTTGGTCAAGTAAGGAGTGGGTGGGGTCATCGGTCCCTGGAGCAACGGCTAAAGACTGTGCCCGAGTCGTAGTTGAAGTAGTGTCCTCTGGAGGGGACATGCAAGAGGGGTGAGTCGGAGACTCAGTGTATATGGGGGTCGCAATCGAAAGTGCCGACCGTATTATGTTGAGGGGTGGTCTCGGAGACCGGTTGGGTTGGGGTGAGGGGAGCGGGCCGCCTCGGGTAAAAGTGGGTGGCCTGGTTAAGGCCGATAAAGAGGGGTAAGGTCACGGGACCTCGGGTAAAAAATTTGACCATAGTTTCGCGACCGTAAGGTCGCTAACTTCGCGGGCTGTCGAGCGCTTTGGCAGTAGGTTCTCGCTGACTAGAGATTACTGACAGTGTGCGTACCCGACGTATGGGATCACTCGTGCGATGAGTGAAAATAAGAAGGGGCGAAGGCGGCTTTCGAGAGTAGCCGCTGGTTTGGCGAGGGGTGAACGGTGGACGCGTCCCGTAAGGGCACCGAACGAGCAAAGAATGGGGGGTGTCGAGCGAGGGAAGTTCAGGGACCGAAGCAATTCGAGAATCAGTATAACTCCATCTCGGGGGGAAGAAATCCTACCGCGAGCCAGAGGCGAGCGGGTAGAATACAGAAGAAGAAGAAGAAGAAACTTATATTGCTTTGAAGTACAAGACTTATCGCACGCCGACCCAACCGCCTAAAACACGAACCGAACCGAACAAAAGAAAGAAAGAAAAACAACAAACACAAACGCAAACAAGCAAGAACAAGAACAAGAACAAAACAAGCACAAGCGAGCACGAACAATAACAAGGAAAATCCAGAACAACACTTCGACCAGAAAACCCAACGACAAGGAGAAATAACATATCTCAGCGGACTCGAGCGCTGGATCCATCAAATCAAAGAATAAAAACAATTTTAAAGAGTAAAAGGAAACTCCCCTTCCTAATCCCGTTCCCGGTCATTTTCTTCCATCCCCTCTTCCAGGTCCGCCTCCGCCTCCGCCGACTCGTACCATTTCGAGAGTTGAGATTGTTTCGCAAATTGTAGGATGAGGTCCGTTCTCAGGTTTGTAAACATCCAGTTTTCCCAGGTCATCGCTCCGGGGATCTTCTCTATCAGAGGGGCGCGGATTCGAGCCCATGCTGGGCATTCCATAAGTATATGTTTCGCTGAGTTTTCCATCCCACACTGGCATGGTTCGGGGTCTGTGTATACTGCATGTTTGTCTACTCGGGTAGTTTGGCACCGGATCCGAAATACTTTCTTTGCTTCCGTAAGGGTGAGTTTCGCTATCTTGGGAGGGGGGCGGAATTCCCCCCGATGATGGTAGTTCGGTATTAATCGTGTGTTCCATTCTTCCAACAGGTGGTCGCGTAGTAGTTTGTTTTGGTTCCACTTATCTCTCGCATTTCCGGGGGTCTGGTATGGAAGTAGTAAGGAGGCGATTCGGTGTAAGCCTGTTCCTTTGATATTTGCTTCTCTGTATGGGAGGAGCTCGATCAGAGATTCGTTGTTGGGGTGGGTTGCGTCTGTGCAGAGTATTCTAGTTCCGTACTTTCTTGAGCGATATGTCAGGAGATGTTCTAAGGGGGGTAGGCCTGCTTCTCAGAGGAGTTTAGTTCTTTTGGTCCATCGTGGTAGGCCGGTGATGACCCGGGCCGCTTCATTGTATAGTGGTTCGAGGGATCTTATAATGTGGTCTGCGCCAGTCCACCAAGCCTCGGATCCGTAGAGTAGACTTGGAAGGAAGCCTTGTGTTATAATGTGATGGATTGTTTTAACCGTTATTCCTGGCAGGCGGTCGGTGTATCGAATCTGGTGGAGGGCTTTAAGGCCTTTAGCGATCGCTGCTTCAATGTGGGGCCGGAAGGAGAGGGTCTGATCTATCCAGACTCCTACATATTTCAGCCTCTCCTTGGGGTGTATGTTGGTATTGTTGATTTTGACCGAAAGTCGTGGTTGTTGTGTGGATGATGTAGTGGGCCGGAAGAAGATCAGGTCGGATTTATCCGGGTCGTACTTGATTTGGAGTGGCTCAGCTTTTATTAGTCTCTCTCTCATTCGTTCCTCCATTCTCTTGATTGTGAAGCCTGGTGTTTTGGATATTTGCACCAGTGCATCGTCGTCGATATATGTGGTGTCCATCTCTTTCGGGCTACTTATTGGGTCCAGGATTACTCCAGCATAGATCATGAATAGTACCGGGGACATGGGGCTACCTTGCGGCACTCCAGAATCATAAGGCTGTGGTTCCTCTAGCTCATGGTTAAATTGGAACTGTAATTTTCTGCCGGTATTGAATTCCTTGCACCATTCTGTTAAGTAGGTAGGGAATTTTTGTTGGTACATGATTTCCGCAAGGAGTAGGTGGTCGACACAGTTAAATGCTCCTTGGATGTCGTTGGTTAGGATCGCTGGTCTGTCTCGCCGAGCGACTCCGGTACTGTTTTTCAGTAGTAGGTTTTGTTGTATTGGTGTCAAGGTTCTCAGGAGGGCGTCGATTGCCGAGATCGTTGGTCTTCCTCCAAATTGATTCGCTGAGAGTGTGCCTAGAATTTCTCCAGCGGTGCAGAGTCTTTGGGCCACTATCTTCTCCAGGATTTTGCTGAAACATTGTAGAAGGGAAATGGGCCGGTAGGCTTTCGCTTCATGGTAGTTTGCTTTACCGGGTTTCGGGATCGGGATACACTTAGCTATTTTCCATTCCGCTGGGTGTACCCCGTGCCGGAGCATGGCGGAGAACATGTCTTGGATTAGAGTTGTATTTGCTCTGACTATTGCTTTAATAAAGGTATAAGGGATGCCATCCGGGCCGGTCGCCGAGTGCACTGGACAGGAGTCGATTGCTTTATTAAGTTCTTCGGGGGTGACTATGTCGAAGGTGTTGCTAAGGTCAAAAGAAGGGGGTCTAATGTTTAGGGGGGGATGTTCGGGGGACGTCCGTTTCGAGGGGAAAAGTTGGGCTCTTAAAGCTTGACACTTCCCCGCAAATGTTTCTTCACCTTGTATGGTTGGTATGATTGTGTCTCTTCTCCTTCCTGCGTTTAGGATTCTCCAGACTTCACTACCTTTCGCCTCGTTCATCGTCTTTTCCCGCTGGTCCACTTTTGCCTTCCGGATCATGACTGTCCATTCCCTGCAAGCCTTCCGGTGTTCCTCCACGTGATTGGGTTTCCTTGTGTTTCTCGCCTTCCTTTCTGCTGCGTTTACCCTTGCCTTCATTTGTTTCATTTCATCTGACCACCAGGAGTTGGCTCTTACCCCCTCCTTCGAGAGCGGTGTTACTATGCTGACTGTTGACCTGACCAGTTCTAGGAAGAAATCGACAGTTTGTTCCGTAAGTTCCTTGGTTTCCCATGCCTCTGCAGGGATGGAAATGTTTGACATGTGGTTCTCCAGTAGCTTCCAGTCTGTTTGTCGCCACATTCGTCTTGGTACAAAAGGTGGTTTCTCCAAGTGTAAGTGGACGGAGGTTCTCCCGTGGTCTGAGCCCGCTCCATAGGGTTCGGTGCTCCATCGTAGGTTGTGGTCGAGTGTTGGGCCTTTAACAAATGTAAGGTCGATGGTTGTGGGCCTTTTCCCTCTGTCTCTGGGGAAATGTGTAAAGACGCCTGGTTCGTTCAGGAGGGACAGTTTCTGTCGGGTTATCCATCGTTTTAGTCGTGCACCATTGACGCGGTCTGCTCGAATATTGTTTCTGTATTCATGTGAATTTACTCCGTACCACATTTGATGGTGGCAGTTGAAGTCTCCCATTACTAGACAATTATCAAGGGTTTGGATTGTACTTGCTATTTGAGCGAAGGGGCCACTTCGGCCTGGGGAGTATATGTTTAGGATTTGGGTTTTCTTGGTCTGGATTTCTACCGTAATCGATACTATGAAGTTATCATATGTATAGTGGTGTTTTGGTTTAAGGTTGGCATGTTTGCGGACGTATGTTGCGCATTTCGTGTTGATATTGCTGGCTGTAAAAAGGTAAAAAAGATTTGATTCTGGTGGATATCCCTCTGCTGAGGTCCATGGTTCTTGTAATAATAGGAAATAAATACTAGAATCCGTTTCCGCTTCTTCTACCGCCACCTTGGTAATAAGTTCGCTCCGTGCACAATTGAGTTGGTGTGCGAGCGCGGTAGTTCGAGGCCTAAGCATTATTTGTCATATGTTGGTCGTCTTCGGGAACGGGTGGGGCTCCGACTGGGGCGGTGGCTGGTACTTGAACTATCGACTCTTGGACGGGTGCGGCCGGTGGGTCTTGAACGGGTGGGGCGTTTTCTTTTCCTTTGTTAAGGAATCGGCGTTTGACTCTTTCGGGGCATGCTGGGTCGGAGGCCTTATGGATTCCTTTGCAATTCAGGCATCTGATTGGGGTGTGGGTGCATCTATATCCTCCCTGGCATTGATTGCATGGGTGGAAGCTGGTGAGATGGTCTCCGGCACAATGACCGCATCTCCCGTTGTTTTTGCATTTCTCCTGGCGGTGACCATATTCGAGGCACTTCGCGCATTCGGTGTCTGGGAAGGTTGGGAGGAAGGCCTCGATGTGGCAGCTTCGGTTAAAGAGGGATAGGAACTTAACTCCTAGTGATTCCATTGTAACTTGTCCTGGGAGCGCGATGACCATTGATGAGTGGGTTTTCTCTATTCGAGTCTCTGCTCTGGAGATCCAGCGGGGAACCTGGGCAAGTTGGAAGTTCTCTCCATAGTTGCTTCTAATTTCGGATGCTACCAGTTGTCCTGCCTCGACGCCTTCTCCGACCGTCGTGGGGATTCCGTGAATAAGGAACTTTGACCATTTGGAGTTTGCCCGGATGATAGCGACTGGTACTTATAGGGTGAGGAGAGCCTCCTCAATTTCTTTGGCGTATTCCATTGCCTTCGATGCTGGGGTGACAAACTTTGTTTCCAGGATAAAGTTATCCTTGGGTGTTCTCCTTGCTGAAATGAAGTGGCAGGATTCGTCCTGAATTCTTGAATTGACTAGGGTCCTGATCTCGGAGGGATTGACGTCGGATGGGGCAGTGGTTTCGACAATGATTTCTCTGTTGATTTTGGTATATTCCGGCTTGAAGAGAGGATCCGCTTTTGGCTTTGCAGACTTCTTTCTTCTCTCAACAACCTGGAAATTTCCTTGGGCAGGACTGGGGGCCGAGGCCACGGCGGCCCAGGTGCCTGCTTTCCATCCACGGGGTGGGGCTTGTTGGAGGGGTGCGGGTGGGGGGGCCTGAGGAGCTGCCTGAGGCGCTGCTTGGGGAACTGTTTGGGGGACCGCTGGAGGGGGCATTCTCTGTCCCTGCGGTTGTTGTTTTCGCTGTTGTTGCTGTTGTTGCTGTTGTTGTGGTTGCTGCGGTTGCTGCGGTTGTGGTTGTTTGTTGAGGAGAAGGTGGATCGCCGAGTGCATACTGGTGATCATGCTTGTCTGCGCTTCGATTTGGTGCTTCAGTGTATCCACTGTTCTCCGGAGTGTGGTCGTTTGCTCTTCGAGGATTTCCATCCTGTCGGAAGGTGGGCAGATTCAGCTGGTGGCATGTCTGATGGCCCAGGTAATATAGTTCAGGTCCGTCTGGGTGTGAGTGTCCTGGGGGACAACGCTCGGGTAGAGGTAGTCAATTCTCGGCTGGTATGGGTCGTTGTAGTCGGATTCTGATGCAAAGGTCGAGGAGAATTCTTGTTCCTGAGCTCCGGATGGGGTTGGGTCAGGAACCGGAGTGTTCCTGTTCTGCGGAGGGGCTGTCCCTTGCTGGGAAGACTGGGTAAAAAAAGACTGGAGCGAGGCTTGTTGCGACATAATTGAATGTCCAGTTCTTCTGGCGGCGTAAAGTGATGTTTCGGATAGGTTTCTTTTCCTTCCCTTTGGGAGGTCAAGGCTGGAGAATTCTTCACTAGAAGCCAGTTTTCATGGTGTTTCTTTCGCTAGGAACAACAAACGCGACCGTACGATCGGGGACGAAGTGGCTCAACCTGGTATGATATACCAGGGTAAACCGAGAGGAGTAAAATAAAGTGTTTTTGAAGCGAGGTTTGTAATCAGGGAGTTCTTTGCGAGCCTTAGCGAGCAAGTAGAATACAGAGAGAGAGAGAGAGAATCTTATATTGCATAGAAGCCGAAGCTTATCGCACACCTAACTACCCGACTACAACCTCCACCGACTAACCCGAAAGCAAAAACGAAGTACAAAAACTAACTACCGCAGCTACAAGAACTGCGTACATAATAAAACAAAAACAGCGCACGAAGAGGGCGCGAATAACAAGTGGTACAGGTAAGCAGAATCTAAGCGACAACAAAGAAACCTCCCCGTAGTAAAAGTAAGAACCCCAAACTTCTCCGTCAACTGCATTAGCGAGCACAATCCTAAACGTAGTGTTCAATCGAAACGATATCATTACCAACGTTCCCGGTGTCATATCTGTGGACGAACCTTAACAGGACTGGGAAACCACGCGCACGAAGGCAGGAGAGGCCAACCGCAACAGCGTCAGGTGTGAAAGCGAGGGGGGGTGGGTCGAGTGTGGGTCCTCGGGCTTCTGGTTGTCAGGCAGCGAGGAATTGAGGAGTGGTGACCGGTTGGTCAAGTAAGGAGTGGGTGGGGTCGTCGGTCCCTGGAGCAACGGCTAAAGACTGTGCCCGAGTCGTGTTTGAAGTGGTGTCCTCTGGAGGGGACATGCAAAAGGGTTGAGCCGAAGGCTCAGTATGTATGGGGGTCGCAATCGAAAGTGCCGACCGTGTTGTGTTGAGGGTGGTCTCGGAGACCGGTTGGGTTGGGGTGAGGGGAGCGGGCCGCCTCGGGTAAAAGTGGGTGGCCTGGTTAAGGCCGATAAAGAGGGGTAAGGTCACGGGACCTCGGGTAAAAAATTTGACGATAGTTTCGCGACCGAGAGGTCGCTAACTTCGCGGGCTGTCGAGCGCTTTGGCAGTAGGTTCTCGCTGACTGGAGATTACTGACAGTGTGCGTACCCAACGTGTGGGATCACTCGTGCGATGAGTGAAAGTAAGGAGGGGCGAAGGCGGCTTTCGAGAGTAGCCGCTGGTTTGGCGAGGGGTGAACGGTGGACGCGTCCCGTGAGGGCACCGAACGAGCAAAGAATGGGGGGTGTCGAGCGAGGGAAGTTCAGGGACCGAAGCAATTCGAGAATCAGTATAACTCCATCTCGGGGGGAAGAAATCCTATCGCGAGCCAGAGGCGAGCGAGTAGAATACAGAGGTTGCGTAAGGAAAGAGAAAGAAAGACAACAGGAAACACAAGCGACTCTTTATAACAAAGGAGATGACAATCGATTATTAATCCCACGGAACCTTCCAGACTTCCTAGTAACCCCCACGTTTTAGTATAGTGGTATGGTTCGTAACAGCTGCTCTCACCCCCTCAGACCCTCTCATCGTACAAAAACTAGACACCCTAATCGGGAGAACCAGCCTCCCCCCTCCCACACCCCAAGCCTCCTAGAAACCTACCCCACCTGCCAAGCCTATCCAACCGAGGGCAACCCCCACGCATGCACAAGTGGTTCGATCCACTCCCAACTCACCCAATCCCCCCAGCAAGAAGGCAGCCAAGGCAGCCGCAGCCGCAGCCTCAGGATCCGCCCCGAAGGTGAAGCCCCTACCGTCTGCCCACCGCCGCTTCTTCGCCAACAGGACAACCCCCAGTCCCATCTCCAATGCCGAAAGGCTGTTGGCAACCCTCCTCCGCCTCTTCGGCCAAGCCCTGGTCCGAAGCCACCAAGTCCCCCCCCGTCACCTCCCTCACCGTCACCATCAACAACAGATGCACAGTCTCTGTTACCGCTCCCCCCACCGTCCCATCAACGGTCTACACACCCTTCTTTGAGGCCCTCACCATGATCCTAAACGTGGAGATAGCCTCCACAGAAAACCCCTTCACCACCTTCCACCCCGCTCCCATCAACATCGATCTCGCCATCCATGGCATCCCCCTCTATAAGCTCCCCAATCAGGAATGCCTAGAGGAGATCCTGCCCTCCGCGCTTAAACTAGCCGTTGGCATCACCGCCTCTGCCGTCCGTTTCCTAAACACGGACAAAACCTCCCGCTCCTCCAAGGCCACCATCTCTGTCATCGTCTCTGTAACGGCGGAAGAGGCAGCAACCAGTGGAACCACCATCCACCTCTTCTCCCGCCCCAGACGCTGCAACGTCATGTGGTGAGCATCCTCCACCACCCAATGCAGGAACTGCTGCAAACTCGGCCACGCCACCCAGGGATGCAGGTCCCCCATCGCCTGCCCCCTGTGCACCCTTCCCCACAAGCTCCAAAACTACCGCTGCCCAGTTGCCTCGTGCAAGCGAGCATCGGCGCCTCTTGAAAACTGCTGCGAAATCTCTCCCGCCAAGTGCATCAACTGCAACGGGACCCACCACTCCTTCGCCCCAGCCTGCCCCAGCAGGAAACCCACCACTCGTCCAACCCCCCCCCAACCCCCAGACCGCGATGGAAATCTCATAAAAACGCCGCGCCACACTACCACTACCTCCATGAGACTAGGTTCTCGGAGGCCCCACTAAGGATTTTCCCCCTTTTATATTTTTCTTTTGTTTTCGTAATCTTTTTATAGGCGGAAAAACAGTCGGTCGGGGATAGGTCTTTACGCCATAGTTTATATTTTATGCGATTCTTTGTACCTAGAAACAATAGAGCTTGATATAAAAAAAAAAAAAAAATAAAGCGAAATTATCTGAATATCTATGATATTATATCTTATATTTTTAGAAGAGTTTGTAGATTCATAGAGTTTGGTGTCCGTTGCTATGCAGGCTTAGGAGTATGTCTCTTATCCAATCAAGGGACAGCCTGAGAGATCAGTCATCAGCCAGCACTCGGGCTAGCCGCTAAATACCGCTTACTAAATCATGGACAATGATATTTATTACTAGAAAGATTGACAAATTATAAAAATGAAATAAGCGACGGAACGCCTGTAGTCAACCCCGGTGATACATCCTACTTCTTAAGCTGAAAGATACAAATCGTATAGACAAAAGAAATGATACACGCAAAGTAAATGACAAATGAAATAAGCGATGGAATACCTGTAGTCAATCCGCCCCTATACCTACTCCTCACCGATGATACTGAGACAAAGGGAGTCATACATGCAAAGTGAATGACAAATGAAATGAGGAATAGCCCCCCACTCCTTGCAATAACATGTAATTTACATTGACCAGGCGGGGCCTCGAGGTTTTGCATTCAACAAGGTTCTGGGTGTAGATCCTCCCCTGAATACGTATTCAATTCTAAGAATAATGCATTTCTTGGTGAAAGCTCGTCTGGTTTTGTCCCGATTTTTGGCTGCCTTGCGTATTTTGCTTGATTCCAGGCCCGTATAATCATTGTAAAGCTTAATCACTGGATCCAGCTGGCGAAGATCGACTTTTTTGAGATCTAAGTTTGCCCAGTACAGGAAACTGACTCTAGCCATCTTCACCAGCATATCCGACGGTCGTGAATTCAGTGACAAGTTGATACATCGTTTCCAAACCGCTTCAAATTTGTAATCTGGGTCCAGAATTTCAATGACCGGTATGCCATCTTCGATAAAGTCACCGCGTGCCTGGACTAGAAGGTTTTTTGATTTGATTCCTTTGGGTGCTGGAAAGCTTTAAGCCTGGCAGACGATGCTAGTAATGAATTCCATATCAATTATATAGTGATGTGGGAATATAAAGTGTTGGGAATATAATAGAGAGGGGATGACTTTACAGATAGAATGGTGGTGATAGATAGTTTTGGAGAAATATTGGAATGAAGGGATGGTCTGCAAAATGAGGGTGACCTGCTCCTATTTATCCTCTACAATAAAAAAGGTCGAAGCAAGTTCCCCACCTCGAGCAGGTGGCCTTAATCAGCTGGCCATGAAGCTGAGCGAATTAAGTTCCCATACCCCGAGCAGGAGGCCTTAAACAGCTAGCCACAGACTAGGTTGAGATGATGGTGCCGACAACAAGCTATATATTTTTGCATGAACTACATCCTATGTTTAGATATGGACAAGTCAGATGGATACATAGTGTTATCGATCGCATGAACTACGTCCTATGTTTAGAGATTAACAAATCAGGTAGCTAGATAGTATTCTTTCATGGATCGACTAGTGGATATGCGGGGTTACGAAGAGTCGGATTAGTCAGAAAGGTTCTATTGGGTTCTACCGGGTTCTGTTGGTTGTTAATGTATGAGTCATGTTGGATTTGTCATCGCTGGGATTTCCTTGAGTATATTAAGGGGGGTTGTTTGTACTTCTCGTTCTTTTTCTTCTTCTTTCTTTACGCAACGTCTTCTGTATCTACGCTGTCTACTGCTATACAATATTATCGTCCTCTTCTTTATTCAAGAAGACCCCCGCCTCGCTTTCTCCTTGTCCCGTTGACCCTTACCAACGCTAGAAACCCTTAGGACCCCTATTGCGAGTTCCCATACCGTCCCCTATTACACTCTTCGTACCCTGCGGAATACTCGCTACTCGCCCCCTTGAGATATTCCCGGAGCAGCAGCATCAAGTCTAAACAATCAGTGATATCATTCAATTCAATTCAAAAGAAACCACCTAAAGCTCCCTCATAGCGAACTGCTTGAATGTGAGATGAAATTTCATGGATCGATTAGTTAATACACTGGGTTACGAGGAGTTGGATTAGTCAGAAAGATTCTATTGAGTTCTATCGGGTTCTGTCGGTCGCAAGTGTATAAGTCACTTTGGATTTGTCATCGCTAGGATTTCCTTGGGTATATTAGGAGGTTTCGTCCTCGTTTCTGTTCTCTTTCTCTTCTTTCTTTTAATACACAACGTCTTCTGTACCTACGATGTCTATTACTACCTAATATTATTTCCTCTTCTTTACTTAAGAAGACCACCGTGCCGCTGTTTCCCTTATTCCATTGACCCTTACCAATGCTAGAGTCTCTCAGGACCCCTATTGCAGGCTCCTACACCGACCTCTACTTCCCCCTTCGTACCCTGTTGAATACTCGCTACTCGCCCCCTTGAGATGCTTTCTTTGAACTTCGGTAGTTTGAATAGGATGATTTAGTAGCTTGAAGGTGTAGTGAGCAGCTGGAAGGTGTTGTGAGGAGCTGGAAGATATAATGAGGAGCTGGAAAGTGTATCGTGGGAAATGGCTTCTAATTTATACAGCTTCAAGGCTAGACCCTCAAAACTAATATTGTCACAAGTAGTATATTTACTGTGCTACATTCTTACTACTATAATTACTTTGGGAAGATTCTTCTTCAGGGTACTAGCCCATCGAAACTCACACTATATAGTATTTCAAGGCGGACTCCTGGGGCTTGATGCTTGCATTGTGGTCCGCTAGTTAGTACGGATCACGCTAGTCGGCTCTAACTGTTATCATTCATCGGTTCCGACTGTTGATACAGAGGGTAGTTTGTTGGATCGTTAATTATATTTTGAAGAAATATAGGTCTAGATATATTACATCGAGAGTGTGTGGGAATATATTCTAGCTCCAAAAAGTATCAGGCATTACCGGATCGATCCTTCATGTCGATACACAATGCTTGTATATGGCAGAGCAGACGGAATGCCCAATTTTCAACATTCTATGACTGAACTCATTAGGGTAAATGATTGTGGTTACTTGTTTGTTATGGTAGAGACTACATGTATCATATATCGATATAGCAATGGTTGTGAGTTATTTGAGATCTTTTAAAAACACGCCATTCAATTTTCTATTCTCCGGTTTATCAAAATAAGAAATTTCTTGATTACTCCAAAGGCCTCTTATCGTGAAGGCACCCCTCTGATACGCACTATGGGTCTTCCGAAAATATCATACGAAAATGACTACAGGTACAGACAATTTCTTAAGGTCTGATAAACAAGTACCAATCTCTTAACCTTCACGGTGATGCCAGTTCCCCACTGACCTCCTCGCGCACGCATAAAACAATCGTACTACCGGAACCTGTAGAATGGAGCCATATCAGAACCCCTGATAATAGGAGGGCACGTTTCCCATTCCTGCAAGTATTGGTATGATTATCAGTTCAGGTAATAAACTAACCAGCCTGTCACGACCTTCCCTGGTTTTAAAGATTGGATAAGAATTCTTTATTATAAAGTCAGCTCACAATTCTCGTTTCTCGCAACACAAACTCAACATCCGATGGGATTATAATGTTCTGATAGGGAGTAGGGACACACATCTAGATGGGAAATGAAAGCTCAACGTCATTCACATCCTCATATCCGATTAATCATTAGCTGATAGACCAGGACCTAGGGCGAAGCTTTACCCCGGAACTACTTGATTGACCATTGAGCTCCAGTACACAATATCCGTGATATCTACTCTTGATCTGCCGATACATACCCGTCGTATTGTACCTCCCAACATACGTATAGGCCAAAGTACTTACTAGCACCACCCACCCCAGCTCTCGGAAAACCCGGCAAAAAAACTCCTCAGAGCACCTTGACGATCATCGCAAAAGCTTATGACTGTCGATCGCAATAAACGGGTTTTAGCGAAGTGCAGGCAGGACCGGGGATGAGTGTTATCGGCAGGTGTATCAGGTGATCTAGTCACAGGTTATCACTCGATGCCGTGCATCCCGACTGCGGTCAAAGAACAGCTAATGAACCAACCGATGAAGATGTAGTGGCCATCATGCAATCATACCACTTTGTATGAGAGATAGATATTCTAATTACCAATCATTATCAAAGCGAACATCGCAGTACACCAAACCATAACGTAGGACTGGCTTATTCTCAAACAGGAAGCCGAATTAACACACTTGATTATTGATACTAACTCAGCTCCCTGCTATGCCGTTCTTATCAAATCCAAGACCTCCCTTCGAGGTTTTCATCCACCAACATCCCACCAACATCCCCCACAGTCTGCGCTAAGCGAGAAATAAGCGCTGGCAATACTCTACTACTGCACCCCAGCTCCTCGCCTACTCTACTAATCTAGCTCTTGCAGACTTGTGTTCAGGAGCTATCTCGCTGCGGTGGTGGAAATGATAGTGTCTTTGTGGGGCGCCAATTAAGGGCGGACATGCAAGCCCGGTTCGATTGTGCTCACATTGATGGCGTATTTGGTCTATGGCGCAATCTACTATTGCTATTTAGAACAGAGAATATATGGCTACTAACTAAGTTGAGACTGTTTTG